CATCTCTTCAGTGGTTTGGGGTCTGGCAAAGATAAACCGGACCTGATACGAATTGGCTCCTCCTCCTGATGTATTTCGGTTAATGCACTAGCTGCCGAGAAGCAGCCAGGCCTGGAGCAACAAAATCAATCCCCCCTCGGCTCAACAAGCTTAAACTCAACTCCCACAGATCATTCTCTTGTATATTTTACCTATGGAGCTCAAAATGCAGTCCAGGCTTGGCTTCCTGCCACTGGCAAAGGCTGTCTCTGAGGGTCCGACCTGAGATCTTAGAAGAGCCTTAGGCAATGGTCATGTGATAAGGGGCTCCTGAAAAGTACAGTGCACACAAGCAGTCTTCACCATTCCCTCACATTTGAAAAGGAGGCAGAAATAAGTTAGTGTGTGTTACAGATGAGAAAGCTGTGGAGGTCTAGCAGTATGTCCACTATCACTCCTTTGGGCAGGGATAAGCCTTGGGTCTTGACATTTTTCATGACTACTGTCAAATGGCTATTTATTATTGATATGTTAAAGACTCTCATTTAGAGGAAAATATGGGGTCATGTTCCTATTTGTGGGTCAATGGTGACCATAGAATGACAAAATCATATGCAGTAGAACTATCCTATCACTCAAATATTTTAACTGTTACTCTCTTAATCACTTGTTATGCATCAGAGAGTTGGACAATGACCAAGGCGGATAGAAGGAGTATTGATGCCTTTGAGCTGTGGTGCTGGAGAAGAGTATTGAGAGTACCATGGACTGCTAGGAAAACAAACAGATTCATCCTGGAAAGGGTTAAACCGGGTGGCTCCTTGGAGGCAAGGATTCTGAGGCTCTGTCTAACATACTTTGGACATGTTGTAAGGAGAGTCTGGTCCTTGGAGAAGGACATCATGCTTGGTAGGGTGGAGGGAGAGCACAGGAGGGGAAGACCCTCTATGAGGTGGATTGATTCAGTGACTGGGGTAATCGGGATGGAAGTATCAAAGACAGTGCGATTGGCACAGGACAGAGCTGAGTTTAGGGCTGTTGTACATAGGGTTGCTATGAGTCTCAAGTGACTCGACGGCACATAACAACAATAACAACTCTTAAGACGGTCCAAGCTCTCCCCATCCAGGCTGTTGGTGGTCAAATATCCATCACGTTCCCACATTTCCTCGTAACAATTTCCTTTGAGTTCCCAGACTTAGGAGGTGAGACTAAGCATTCTGTAAGAATTTCAGTCAAGACAATAAATGAAAGCAAGTTGGGAGTAGGAACCACTATCAGTACTTAATACTCATATTCACTAAATTGAGGTGGCTGTTAACTGATCCTCTGATTCCGCAACCTTTAAGTGGACTTAGGTTGTCACCCTGGATGCTACTGGCCTCGTACATAGAAGCCTAAAGAAAAGGAAGGAATTGTGAACTGGCCCAGCAATATGTCCAATGTATTCAAACTGCTCATTGCATTAGTCATCATCCACACAGTCTTTTTACAATTACCGAACATCTTCTCTGCGTGTGCCAAACACATTCTTTCTACAGTTACTGAACATCTTTGTGTGTGTGTGTGTGTGCCAGATGTCAGAACTGCACATATGAACTGCAGGTACCACCCCTTTCTGTTGCTAGCCAAGTGTTAATTCCTGAGACAACGTGTCCATGGAAATGCAGACCTAGCTATAGTGTGTATGCCCATGAATACAGGTAAAAGGTTAAGTCCAAGACTCCTTTGTGATTTCCTCAGAGGTTCCAAAGGGAGATCAGTTCATTGGCTTGAATCAGCTTAAGCATTTGATTTAGTACCAAGGGCTTCAAGGAAAAGAAAGAAACTCTAACTCTACATTCCATATGACCAGGAAAGCAGTTGTTGTTGGTTTTGCATACTGTCCAGTCAGAACCTACCTGTAGCTGACCCATGAGTGGGTTTTCAGAAGCAGTTAATTGCCCATCCTTCTCCCACAGTAAAGCAGTACAGACAAGCAGTGATGTTTACAAATTAGAGCAACACTGAAGCATGTGTTTCATTGATTATGCAAAGGCGTTAGACTGTGTGGATCATAACAAACTGGCTGACTCTGAGAATAATGGGAATCCCAGAACACTTGACTGTGTTCATGCAAAACCTACCCTTCGACCAGGAGGCAGTTATCAGAACAGAGCAAGGAAATACTGCATGGTTCAAAATTGTGAAGGTTGTGCATCAAGGATGTGTTCTCTCTCCACACCTTTTCAAACTATATGCAGAACACATTATCTGGGAGGCTGGCTCTACAAGGAGAAATGTGGCATCAGGATTGGTGGAAGATCTAGCAACAAAAATTTTTGTTGTATAGATGACAGAACCCTATTTGCTGAAACTAAGGAGGACCTGATGCGTTTGCTGTGCAAGGTCAAGGACTTCAGCCTTCAATATGTATTAAAGCTCAACATCAAAAAAACAAAGATTCTCACTGCTGGGCTGATTGGCAGTATCATGGTAAATGGTGAAGGGATTGAGATTGTTGATGGCTTCGGTTTGCTTGGCTCCACAATCAACACTCTTGGCACCAGTAGCCAGGAAATTAAAAGTTGTATTGCGATGTGAAAGTTTGTTGTTAGGGACCTCTCCAAAGTACTGAAGAGCAATGATGTCAGTCTGGAGACTTAAGTGTGCCTGATATAGGCCATGGTGTTCGCAATCACTTGTTATGCATCAGAAAGCTGGTCAATGACTAAGGATGATATAAGGAGAATTGGTGCCTTTGAGTTGTGGTGCTGGAAAGGATATTGAATATACCATGTACTGCTAGGAGAACAAACAGGCTCATCCTAGAGAGGGAGGCTAAGACTTTAAAGCTCCATCTCACATATTTCCCCATGATTACAGTTTCATTGAGAAAGAATCAGAAGCAGATTCCATGTCCCTTCACTCTAAGTATCCCACACTTCGTCTCACATTTTTAGGTATGTTTTTAGGAGGAGCCAGACCTTGGAAAAAGACGTCATGCTTGGAAAGGTAGAGAGTCAACAAAGGAGGGGAAGACCCTCAATAAGATGGATTGACATAGTGACTGTAATAAGGGGCTCAAGTACATCAGAATCAATGCCTTCTCAATTTCTTATTATGCTTCAGAGAGTTGGACAAGGACTAAGGATGACAGAATACAAATTGATGCCTTTGAGTTGTGCTGAAGAAGAGTCTTGAACATACCATGGACTGCCAAGAAAACAAATAAGTCTGTCTTGGAGAGGGTGAAACCAAGTCTCTCCTTGGAGGTTAGTATTTTTAAGCTCCATCTCACATACTTTGGGCATGTGGCCAGGAGCAATTGGTCCTTGGAGAAGGACATCATGCTCAGAAGGGTGGACAAACAGTGCAGGAGAGGAAGACCTTGGATGAGATGGATTGATACATTAACTAGGGGCAGTTGAGGTTGGTAAGTTGGAATTAGTGAGACTGGCTCAGGACATGGCAGGGTTCAGATCTGCTGTACATAGGTCCGCTATGGATGGCAGGCGACTCGATGGTACATAACAACAACAACAACAACAACTACAGAAGAGATGGTGAAGATAGCACAGGTTCATATCCAGTGTTCATAAGATCGCTATGAGTCAAGTTGACTACAATTTAAAAGCAATATCAGGGGAGCTCTGGTGGCCTAGTGGCAAGAAGCTGCAACTACAATCCCAGAGGTGCACGGTTCGAATCCACCAGATGCTCTGCCGGGGACGGAGGGGCAATCTCCTCCTGTACCAGTCAGATCTGATTTGACGGTACACGCACACAAAAATAATAATAAAAAAAATAAAAGCAATATCAATAGCAACAAGTCCCTCACATGTTGCTTGAGGAAATGATAACGAATGAGATAATGATGCTAAAATTCAGAGAGCAACAACCAAAGTAAAAATATACTTGAGCACTTGGTTCAACCAGCACCTTTTCTCATTACCTGATGATACAGGTGTGCAAAAGAACTCTAATAATGACACATACATTTGTCTACATTTTGTCTTTTCTAACAAGTCAAATGATACAGCTCTCATTGCTTTACAGCAGTTGGTTGTTTTTGTGTTGGGCTGTTTCGTAGGCTCGCCAGTCACTGCCAGCACAGCAGGTTCCCATTACTAAAACTGGCAGGAGAGAAAAACAAGCTGGGTGATGGGACCACAGGAAAATCTGGGTAGGATGCCCATGGTTGCCAGACAGAAGTAAGACAAATAAGCACTATCAGTCTGATATTTATTGCTTCACTGCTACAGTTTTGGGTTTTATGGGGGGGGGGGGGAAAGGAGGAGATATATGTTCATTAAATTCTTATTTCTCATTAGCACCTCTGTGAATATGTGTGTTTATCAGATAATTGTCCTCAGAGATAACAAAGAGCAGGACTCTTGGAGAGCAAATTTATTTTAACATAATAATGCAATAATACTACAGTGTTACTAATAAATCTTACCATTGGAGGCTCCTCTAAAGAATATTCTGTATTGGGTAACTTGTAAGCAGAAGAATGATGGTAAAAGGGGGAAGGGCTGAGGATGGGTAGTGGCGACACCACAGGGTTGGACAGTTTGGTGAGTGGAGGGTACGGGGTAAGGAAACGGGGAGGATCCAGGAGAAAAGACAGTGTAGTGATGGGCAAGGTCCAATGGTGATTGAGTTCATAAAACACAATGCATGAGGATGATTGTATGAAACATAATGTGAATGAAGAATAGTGTGATATAATGTATATGAACTTTGTTGTTGGTGGTTTTTTTTTTAAAGAATGAAGGATAAGAAATAGAGATCAACTTTGCCTATTGGCCAATGATGCAATTGATATAAATCCTGATTTAGATCATACTTAACTCGACAACAACTAACAACAACTGATGCAGATTTCACTTTGGGAAAATATAATTTAAGATATTTTAAAGGGTTTAAAGTTGGGCTAAAGGGAGAGTGTGAGAGCAGATTTCCCAATAAGGTCATAGTTCCTCACTTTCTTTTCTCAAATCTCCCAACCGATGCAATTCCAGCGTCCCAAGTCTTACCTCCCACAAACTGTGCTGCTCCCATGCATCGCCCCATCATTCTGGAGATGAGTTCCTCCATGCAGCAACCCAGGACGGCCGCCAGTGCCACCAGGAGCAGCAGAGCACAGCCGGCACCTGTCACCACTGTGCACATCTGCCAGGCCAGGCTTGGGATGGCACTGAAGCTGGCATAGCGCCCACACTCTTCCACCATGATCAGACTGTGGCCCTCTCCCCGCACAGGGTAGTTGCACCTCCGGAATGTGCTGAATGACACTGGCTTCCCCAATTGGGATCCGAAGAGCCAGTACGGCAGGAAGTAACTGGTAGAACTGGCCACAGCTGTAACAAGAGACAAGAAGGCCCAGAGGGTCCCCACCAGGGTTAGGCTGCTCCTCATGGTTCAAGATTTCTCTGCAAGGATGGGAAGATGAGTCAAGTCATGGAGCCAAGTTCACAAAGTTACCCTTGTAGGCTTTGTTGACTTAATTTGCATCTGACTGGCCAATCCTTGAGCTCAATTATTTGCCACTCGATCCTTGCCTCTGGCTAAGATTATTCTCTTGCAATCCATTTGCATCCATGCAGAATTCGACTTCCGGACACCTTTTCCATCTTTCTTTCCTTGTGCCTGATGCAGGGTTCTGTGATCTCTATGCTGCAACAGAAGAACCACAAGCTAAATTAGTGATTGTTCTGCCAACTTAGACGCAACCTTTCCATTCTTGCCCCACAGCTTGGAACAAATGGCAGGAGAGATGCTGCCCTGGACACACTCAGACTTCTAGCTGGATGGCCTTGTTGGCCTAGAGGTAGATGATGCCTCAAGAGGGTCAGAGGGAAAGTTGTTTTCTCCCCCTCCCCCGTTTTTTAAAATTGATATTTTAATGAAAGTTTATAAAGAACTTGCATTTCCATTCATTCATTGTTGACATTTTCCTCCCTGCACCCCCTACCCTCCAGTTTGCTTCTTTCTTTAGAAAAAAAAGTTGGATTTTTTTCTTCCCCCAACCCCAACTAGTTTAATATGCAGCTCTTAGTCTTGACTCTTGTCATGTCAATAATACCTAATCGTATATCCCTTTTATACAGTTCTCTCTCTCATCTGTTTCAATGCCATGTACATTTTTTATCTTCTCTTAGTTTCCCCCCAACTCCCATGTCAGTCCTGTTTTATAACAGTGGCATTATGAAGCATTTGTCTTTTTGACTGAGATAGTTCACTCAGTATAATGTCCTCAATGGTTACTCATTTTGTATAATAGTTAATGAGTTCTATATTTTTCAGTGCTGCATAATATTCCATTGTGTGAATATACCACAGCTTCTCTATCCATTCGTTTGTTGATGGGCACTTGGGCTACTTCCAACTCTTCGCTATTGTGAACAAAGCCTCAATAAAAATAGGTGTGCATACATCTGCTTGGGTGACAGTTCTGGTTTCTTTAGGGTATATTTCAGTAGCTGGGTCAAATATTATTTCTATTTGCAACATTTTGAGAAAGCACCATACTGCTTTCCATAGTGGTTGCACCATTTTACACTCCCACCAACAGTGAATAAGGGTTCTAGTTTCTCCACAACCTCACCAGCATTTGTTGTTTGTTGCTCTGTAGAATTTTGCTACATTTACTGGGGTGAGATGATATCTCATAGTTGTTTTGATGGGAAAGTTGTTTTCAGAGTGAAGGAGGAGGGACTATGATTCACAGAGTGTGTGCCCTTACAGCAAAGGAGCAAGAAAGAAGGACACTTCAGGATGGAGTTGCATTTGACTTGGGTAAGGTGTTTGACAGAGTGTTAATACAAGCTTTTACCAAAGATGCATCAGCCTTGTTGAAATGGGTAGAAAAGGATTTCACAGTCTCACACCCTATATCTAGAAATAAATGAGCACTGTTTTGTTTTCTGGAAATTAAAACGACTTTCCAGCCATTGAAGGTTGTTTAACTCCAGACTGGCTATAAGTAAAGCTGCCTTGTCCTTCTCTGGACATAGGCAAGGAAGCTTCTCATCTCTCTGAGATGAGATCAGGCACCTCTGGTCTGGAAGGGGGAGCACATAGCTATAAAGACCTGGCAAAGTCAATTCACACAAGTAATGTCAGATGTAAGATGCTGAGAAGTCTTTCCACATCTCATCTACACAACCTAGCTCTCAAATGGCTTTCACAGACTTCTCTGACAAAACGCAGCTACTTCCCTCCCAACCTCATTAATCTGCGATTGCTTTCTGGCCTGATTGAGGCAGTCGGAGACCACACCGCAACTTGATGACAGCACACGTGAATGTCTGTAGCAGGCATATGGGGAAGGGAATTTCAGAAACTTTCCATGACTCATCCCCATTATATGAAATCGAATGTGGTGGGGTTGGAGAGCAGGGGAAGACAAAAGGTGGCTCAGCAGAGGAGTCAGCTACTTGGAGTCCCATGACATGTTTGCTTTGCAACATTGTTTCAAGGTCCATGACCAGAAGAAAGCCCATTCACAGTTTTCTCAAATAGTGCCTCCATAGAGTTATTGTTTTGTGTTAATGAGTAAGAATTGACTCATAACTGACTCGGCCATCAGATTTTCAGAGACTACGATCGCATCGTAAGAGATTGCCATCTTTCTCCTGCAGAACTGCTGTTGAATTCAACATACTTTCCCTTTGAAATGGCAGTGCAAGTCCTTTCCACTAAGCCACCAGAGCGCCCATGAATGAAGCTGTTGTTGTTGTTTTTATGTGCCGTCGAGTCATCTGAGACTCATAGCAACTCTATGTACAACAGCCCTAAACCCTGCTCTGTCTTGTGCCAATCTGTCTCAAACACACCTACCCCCATTACCCCAGTCACTGAATCAATGCACCTCATAGAGGGTCTTCCTCTCCTTCGCTGTCCCTCCACCCTCCCAAGCATGACATCCCTCTCCAAGGGCTGGTCCTGTCCTTGCAACGTGTCCAGAGTATGTCAGATGAAGCTTCAGAATCCTTGCCTCCAAGGAGCAGGCTGGTTTAACCCTCTCTAGGACGAACCTGTTTGTTTTCTTGGCAGTCCATGATATATTCAATACTCTTCTCCAGCACCACAGCTCAAGGCATCATTTCTCCTTCTATGATCCCTAGTCATTGTCCAGCTCTCTGATGCACAGCAAGTAATTGCAAAGACCATGGACTGTATCAGACACACCTTAGTCTCCAGAGTGACTCATTGGAACTTCAATTAGTGTTCACATAATGAACCACATTTCATGGACTCATTGTATTTACAGGTTGGCAGGGACCTTAATAAGGAGCCCAGGTGGTGCAGTGATTAAGTGCTCAATAACTAACTGCAAGGCTGGCGATTCAAACTATGAGCCATTTGGTAGGGAAAAGAGAAGGCAGTTGGCTTCCTTAAAGATTTACCACCTTTGACAACTCTACGGGGCAATTATACACTGTCCTATGGGGTTGCTACAGTGTCTTTATGTGTCAGAATGCATGACAATGGGTTTGCCTTAAAGAATCACCCAATTCAACCTTCTTGTTTTACATATAGAAGAGAGTGGCTCTGCAAAGCGGATGCGGTTTTCCTCAAGTCACAAAGTTAACAGGCAGCAGTCCCAGAATCAGAAACCTGATCTCCAGACTCCTAGGCCAGGACTTTCTAACCACACAATGCTAACCTCTCTATCCCACTCCCCCATCACCTTACAGATGAAAATGTGAAGAGGAAGTGGTTTACCCAAGGGTGGAGAACTAGTAAGGTACACTAGCCAGACCATAGCAGTTATTTGAGTCCTAGTATAAAGCACTTCCCCCCACCCCTTCTTTCTTTTTCCCATCCACCACCATTCCCCTCTTGATACATATGTAGTTTATGCTTTGTGTTTTGTGCAGGAAGGAAACAGAGCTCATAAATTGCTGGTGCTTAGTTTGGAATGTCAGGGCTTGGGAAGAAAGTGCCCTGAGATGGACCCCTGGGAATGAGGCTTTGTGCCTGAAGACTGAAGGGAATGAGAGAAAGATGTGAGGTGAGACTGAAGGCCAACCGGAAGAGGAGTGGAACTAGCTTTGAGTAATTACTGTTAGAAAGCAGGTATGCTTGGCTGCAATGAGGTAATGCCTCTGGCTGTTACAGAAACGTGTGTAAGACTGTGAAAAGTGCAAGCAGCCCTCTGGTGTGGATTCACTTCCTGATGAAGAAGCCTAGTCGTTGATGGGAGGAAGCAAACTCATCAACGGCTACAGGTTGCTTCACAGGAACTCATCCATAGGCATTCTTTCAGGTGCTCTGCCCACCCGTCTTCTGAGATGCCCAGGAACAGAAGTCCCTGTACAAATAAGGGAATGTGGGCTCAGAAAGCGAGGGGACTTTCCCAAGTTTAAAAGGTTATTTAGTGGCAGAGTCGCCATTTTCCCTTTCTCTTTCATCTACAGCCTTTCCTCAGGCACACCATAACCCCAAAAGGATCACTGTTAAAGTCTTCACTGTTTCCCGTGCTGCATTTTTAAAAACTCTAAGAAGTGTAACAGAATTAAAGACAGGGAAGACAAGCGGAAGGTTGCTTTGTTCAAACATAACATGTAAACTAACAGAACAACAGCATTAGCTCTTTTGAGCTCAGCAATGGGCGTCAGAAGTTAGGCCCCAGCTCCCGTTTGCATCATCATCTTGAGACCGAAAGTTCCAGTATAACAACCAATAGAAGTGGCAGAGAAATTATGACAGAGGAAATACCAGAGTGGTGCAAAGACTCTATCAGAAATAAGGGAAGAGTTTCTGACGTAAGTTTGTTCTCATCTTTGACAAGTTAGAATATCTTAAAAATACTACCTACCACTGTCACCAAAATTGTATTTTTAAAATGGCAATATTTTGAGGCTAAAACGTTGGAAGTCAGAGTATCAGGATGAAAGCTACATGAAATGTTTTTCACTTGAGAAAAACTCTTTGCTTTTTATAATGAAATGAAATACTTTAAGGGAAAACTCATTGTTCTTATTTCATTTAGTTCTAGGGTGACCAACTTTGCCTGTTAGCCTGGAACTGAGGGATTCCTTGAGATTCCAGATTTTTCAGTGGTACAACTGTCAGCCATGGTTATCAATAATTTTTTAAATTAATGAATTAATTTATTTATTTTTAATTTCAGAGGTTTTGGAATTCCATTCATTAATTGTTGCACCCTTCTCCCCGCCCCCCCTGTTTGCTCCTCGTAAAGCAAAAGAAAAACTCCCTCATTGGTACACATTTTTAAATGTCCTCTCCCAGAATAAAACAATGTAGTTAAAAGCGTCCATGAAAGAAAACACTGGAGAGATAAAACCTATACAGTTTGAATGTAAACCATTCTGTGTCATAGACTTCTGGGCACATATGGAGCCTTAGCCTGGGTTTTCCTGTGGCTGGATGGTGTGGAAGGGCACTGGTATCACAGCGGGTA